TCCAAAAGCCTTCTAGTGATTTATTGTCCAGAGTGGCTGACGAGCTATTTCAAGAACTCCAGAGCACCGGGCTCGAAATCTCACGACCCTTTTTCATGAAAGCCCATAGATGGTTGGTATAATTAAGTGTTTCGTGCAAGTTCTCGGATTTTATTATACAACTCATTAGCTTTACGAATGTGAATATTTTTTTCCGAGGCGGTGTGAGCCCCATCCTGAACCGAACCTCTCTTGGATAACAACAAAACCAAATAAATAAACATATATAGCTATGTTTGGTAAACCTAGTTGATAAGCTAGCTTATATCTTTCGAGTTTCGAGCTTATAGCTGATAGCTTGTGACTTATGGCTGGCTGAAAATCTAACTTATATGATAAAAGTGTTTGGGAAAGCTAGCTGATAAACTAGTTGAAATAAAAATTTTAATTGACTTATTTGAAATGCTACCCAAGGAAGCTTATGAGATAAGCTCGAACTAAAAAAAAAAATCATTCTACCAAACTAAGTTTATTTGAATATAGGAAGCTTATAAACTAATCAAATAAGCTATAAGCTAGCTTATATGCTTACAAACACAATCATAATTTAGGAAAATGCTACAGTCCTATTACGGTACCATCCCGTCAGGAGGTTTAACCGTTGGATACACATGTAGTTAGTATAAGATAAATGATACAACGGTTAAAACACCCAACGGGATGGTAACGGGACTATAACATTTCCCATAATTTATTCTGGAAAGGAATAATCTATTAACTTGTTGTTGGTGGAAAAATTATAATAACCGATTGTGTATTACGCGGTTAATTGTCAGGGGTAGTGCCTTCCCGGCCGCCGGCATTGCCGAAGAGGATAAGTGCTTGTGGATTGAAAAGCAGAAATTAGCAATATGTGGTGACTTTTGTGTGATGCCGAATGTCGAAGGTGCCATATCAAGCGGCATTGCTGCAGCTGCAAAGTTTGTTAAAGTGCTCAGTACTCTCTAAAACAGGTTTAACACCAAGATTTCGTCGTCATTGTGTACGTGGGGCTGTGTTTCGATTTTTCTCCATGTTTGGTGTAGTCAATATGCATCACATAGGTATATGATGTCGTTATAGTTTGTAAAATGTTGCTCTAGTTGACTTTGAGGAAAAAATGAGTGTGCTCGAAATCGACTAAATGTTGGATAATGTGCGAGTTTGGCACAAATTTAACTTAATTTTCAACACTTAATCCACCAAAGAATTATTATTATATAGGGGTACTTTTCGAACTTCACATTATTCGAGTTGCTCGTTGAGAGCTCAAACCTACAAAATAGTGGTTGGAGCTTGAGTCATTTTTTTGCATGAGTTGCTGGACTTTGATAAAGCTCGAGTCGAAATCAAGTGCCACTCGACTCGTTTGAAGTCCTTCCTAGTAGTCTCCCTATTGCTTTGGCATTGGCGAGACTAGGGTTGCAAACATAGATGCTCAAATCAATGTTCAATTCGAGCTCGAACATTTTGAATTCGAACACAAGCTCGAGCCTGCAATTTATGGGCTATAGCACTCGATGAGCCACTTGAAAGCACAAAAAAAGACCTAAATACCCCCGGTGTAGACATTTTTTAATTAAAAAATTTGAACCGACTCAAGCACTATTCAACCCGATCATATTTGTGCATATTCTATAATGGTTTGATGTGTCATCGATAGCTCTGAGCAAGATAGGCACATCGAGTTCGAACAAGTGTCAAAAAAATATGCATGACTTCGACAAAAATCAAGAATAACTCGATATGACCAATGCTCGATACAAGTCGACTTGTTAGTAGTCCTATAACATGATGAAACCACTTATAATCTATCACAAAATGATTAAAAGTTCCCCATGGATAACTAGGGAATTTGAATGTAATTATACTCGAACGTTGAAGAAGAGATAAATTTGACTTGAAATAAAATAAAAAAAAAATGGGATAATTATTTGTTCTTGCAACCAATGATGAGTGTCCAAGTGTACCCCACAAGAAAATTCTCAATATCTGGAAATTGTGTGTGCGAAGAAAATCAGAATTTTTTCGCAAATTTTGATAATGTTTGTGAGAACCATATCCACAACCTATCCATACGGTCACCGCCACGTGTCCAAATGTGTGTCTTAAAATTTTCTAATTATTATGGCTCCAAATGTTATCATTTATCGTACATTAGCAAAATAAACTTGGAAAGGCACATAGAGAGAGAGAGAGATTAATCTGAGAGAAGAACATCCCATGGCCACCACCGTCATGAGCTCACTTAGCCTGAAACCGGCGCCGTTCGCCGTCGAGAAGTCCGCCGTTAGAGGGCTGCCGCCGCTGGCCAGAACCACCCGCTTCCGGGTTGTTGCCAGCGGTGTCAAGAAAATCAAGACCGATAAACCCTATGGTCAGTTTTATTCTTATTATTAGAATTAGAATTAGATAATTATGGGGACAAAATTTCTTTGATTATTGTTTACAATAGGATTAATATTAGACAGATTTGAATCAGGTATACTTTCAAATTAAAATAAAAGGGAGATGCTACGTTCCGTTACGTTATCATTCTCGTTGGATCATCTATCTTATCTAACTACATATCCAACTTCGGGAACACGACCATAACATTTTCTTAAAATATAATAGTTGAAGAAAAAAACTAAGCACATATTTAACCGTTAATAAAATGTATCATACTAAAAAACAACATAATCAAAATTAAGCACAAATTTAATTGTCAATTAGATATATTTTTTTAGTAGTCAGCTACGGTATCCGGATCTTTGTCTCGACTAATCCGTTAGTCGACCCCTGGTTTTCTATATTCACAAGGACTCGAACACGAACCTTGCTTAAGCGACATCAAATTACTTACCACTTGAGTCATCCCTTGTTGATTCAGTTAGATATATCTTAAAATTGAAATATCATACTCTAACAAAATTGCATAAACAAAATTAACTATAATATTTCAAAACGTGAATACTGAATATGCACTTTTGTTAAAATAATATGACGAGTCCACTCGCTTAGTTATAAGGGACAATAATTTGTGTATTATTTATTTATCTATTTTTTATTATATTTTTTACAATTAATTATATGCAGGAGTTAATGGAGGTATGGCGTTGAGGGATGGTGTCGATGCCTCCGGCAGGAAGCCCAAGGTTCGTTTATGAAAAAAATTGAACTAATTTTTTTTTTTTTTTTTTTTTAAAGAAGAGAGATTCTACAGTCTCGTTACGAATTCATTCCGTGGGAGTTTGTAATCGTTAGATCAACTATCTACGACGGTTACATGATGATCTAACAGTTACAAATCTCGACAGAATAGTTCGGGACCGTAGCATTTTACCAAAAAAAAAAAAATACCTAGACAAATAAATAAATAAATAAATAAAATTAGATTCGAAAGTGCATTGATATAGTGAATTTGGTAGATTTTAGGGTTTTTTCATGTACTGATTTTCATAAATTCAACAGAGCATGTGGATTGAGCTATTCATGGACTGATATAAGAAGTGTCTTTATTTTGGACTAAGTACAAATTTAGTTCATTTTATTGAATAATTGTTGATGACTTCATAAGTAACATATAATCCGATGTTTCAAAATGATCGATTTAAAAAAAAAAAATGAGACTTTTATTAATTTATTAAGTTCCAATGGGACACCTCTAAGTTTGTATATCTTAAAAATTACGAGGCTATTTTCACAGTTTTATTATGTAAATTGATTAAATTTGAGATCAAATATTGCATATCGTGCATTTTATCAAGAGATTTATGTCTAATTCATGGACTATTATTATTGTTTGCTTTAATTCAGGGGAAGGGTGTTTACCAATACGTCGACAAATATGGTGCTAACGTTGATGGATACAGGTAATATTAGTGTGGTTAAATTAAACGAGTTTGGCTTGACTTGGCCTGTTAAGGCTCGAGTTCGAGGTCTTAACGAGCCGAGCTCGAGCTCGTTTAGTTAACTAGCCGAGTTCGGCTCGACTCGATAAGGCTCGAAAAGAGAATTATGTATTTTTTATCGTTCGGCTTGTTAAAACTCGAGACGGCTCATTAAGGCTAGAGCTCGATTTTTGGCTCGTTTATCTAACGAATCGAGCTCGGCTCGGCTCGTTTACTGCCTTAAGTTATTCCTTGTACAAGCACACACTGAAAAATAATAAATAAAAGTACGACCTTAAATAAATAAATTTTTGTTACAAAAATATGACTGATCTGACCTGTCAAATGTTAAAGTACAAAAAATTATGTAAAATCCTATATTTTTAACACTTTCTTTTTATATAAATTTCAAATGCAGTCCCATCTACAATGAAGATGAGTGGTCTCCAAGTGGTGATGTTTATGTTGGAGGTAATGTTTTTAAAATCTTGATGGCAAAATTATGTGATGATGTACATAAGTTCATAATTAAATTATATAAATCATGACAAAATTATATAATTTATATGATGAAATTAGATGATGACTTATAAATTATAATGTTTTTGCTTAATAATTGTACATGTTAATTAATAGTATGATGATTAAATAATTGCAGGTAAAACTGGATTAGCCATATGGGCTGTTACTCTTGCTGGTCTTCTTGCTGGAGGTGCACTTCTTGTTTACAACACAAGTGCTTTGTCACAGTAATTAAATTTGTAAGCTTTTTTTTATGGGAGAATATTTGTAACAAACCATATATTTTGTGGATACTCTTATTTTCTGCATTTGTATAATCTAAGTTAATTTTAGTACCCTGGAATTGAACTATTTGTACAAGTTAATTTCTATTTATGTTATCCTCTAGTCTCTATTGTCCTAGTTTTTAGGAAAATTCTACGGTCCCGTTACGAAATTGATGCAGAATATTATTATTATTATTATTATTATTATTATTATTATTATTATTATTATTATTATTATTATTATTATTGTCCTCTAGTCTCTATTTATATTTAGTGACTTGGTGGACAAGATAGATTTTAAGGTTTGGATGTCTTATTTAAAGACCTCTCTTATTTGTTATTCGACAGTGAATTTTGAGAATGAATTAAAATTGTTCGTGTTCTTTCGGGAGAGTATCCCAAGTTCGAGAGAGTATCTCGTTTTATCATTCTCATTCGTAAGCTATTCCTACATCAGTTGGTATCAGCAGTCAGTACAATTCGCGATGTCGTCGGGACGAGAAGATGCTGCAAGCAACCAACGTGATGCCACCTTCCACGATCGGTTTCAACAGATTGACTACCGATTTCAAGAGTTGGACGTGCGTTTCACGAATTTGTTTGTTGATCTTTCGACGGGGATCGAGGATGTGTGCTTGACGCTGAACAACGTGGTTGTTGCGGAATGGCAGACGGACCGTGATGGAGGCCGTGACTATCGCGGGGGATACAGAGGCGGTCGTGGGGAAAGCAATCATGTCGGGGCGCCCCAACAGCGATCTACGCCACCTCTGAACGGCAACGGCGTTGGCGATTCTACCGGGTCGGCTAACCCGTTTACAGTTCGACCACCATGGCGAGGAGATGGCACCCTCGATCAGTCCCGAGTTCGCGAGCGGGCTGGGGGTGGTTTCAGACATGGTGGCGAGCGCGACGGAGAAAAAACCCTAGGTGCGGTCTGATTTCGCATCCGGCAACGGCCAGAGGATTGTTTTGTTTCCCGGTTTTCACACAAACACGCAACCCTAGACAACAATTTCCGGCTAAATGCTTTAGGCTTCAAGGGGTTCAATCGGCCGCGCCGCCGCTGGGACGACGGGTGCGATGCTGCCGGCGACGGCGGCGCATACCGACAGCAAATGGAGGCGCCTGTTTTGGACGAGTTTCACTACCCCGTGAGAATTTTCCGGCATGCTGAGGCGGGCTGGGGTCGAGATGGACGCCGTGTCGCTGAGGACGCCGACTACTACCATTGTCGCGCCGCCTGGCCGCAGGAACAAAACCTAGGCGATTTCCGGCAACGAGAAAAGTAGAGGCCCGATGGAGGTCTAGCAACGGCATGGGAATTTCACGGTCGACGCGCCGTTCAGGGTTTTTCCACTGCCGACGACCTTGATTGGCGACACCATGTGACCGATTTTGCCAGATTTCCAGGTTCGATGCAATTGACGATACAAACTTTTCGAAACAGCAAGAAAACGGATGTGCG